CAACTAAAAAAGAAAAAAATCTATCCAACATAAGCACAGTACTTATTTAATCACCTACCCAGATGTTACACCTCCAGAACAACAAATGTGCTCTCCAGATATGAACACCATTATGGACACCCTTATGTACACTTTTGTGTACTTCTAGCATTTTTCATCAAATAATGCCAAATATCCCCTTCTGGACACCAATTATTCTTGTCCCACATATAATAAACCAAAATTCGAAAAAGAATTGAAGCCAAAGAAATATACATATATAATTAGACTAAAATTCACACGGCATTAATACCTTTTGGAGCTCAGAGAATGTTTGGGCGATTCGTTTAAGAAAATGGGGCTTGGAATATGCCCCATCGGGCAAATCCGCAGAACTCAACAAATTTTTTGGACATGTACTGCATGAATTCACTGAAAGAGAAGATGGGTCATGGACATGGAGCTTGCAGGAGAGAAACCTCACTCGGCGTGATTCAGAACGCAGGAAAGAAGAAAAACTGAGTCTGGCGTTGAATGGACTCGAGGGAGAAGCGAAGAAGAGGGCTTAAGGGTGGATATTAGGATGAATTGAACTGGAATAAATAGGGCTCTCCATAATACAATTAACACCCAACCACCCACACCATGGAGTCGCTCAGTCGCCGACAAACGGAGAATAGAGAGGGAGAGGAGAGAGATGCTAGAGAAAGGTTCTCGAAAATGAGAATGGAGACGTTTGAGAATGAGATTTTTATTTTTATTTTTATTTTTTTAAAAAAAAAACTTTAAAATCTGGGGGTGGGGAGGAGGGGGGCACGTGCCCACCCAGCCCACCCCCCGGTCCGCCCATGAGCCACAGGCGACTACTGCTGCTGCTACCATTCTGGAGCTTCTTCTTCCCTTTATTCATCATTTTCTCTCTCATTTTTCTTAGTATTTGGGGATAAATCCTAGAGCAAAAGAAGAATACATCAAAGAAGGTGTAAAAATATTTAGGAAAAATCAAGACCAAGCTTAAAAAATGATTTTATTTGTAACCTTGTATTTTCTCAATTGTTTTCCTATATTTGTAATGTATTGCAATAAACATTCTCATTTTTATCGATTGTTTAACATGGGATAAATATTTGTGTTGGAATTTATGGTAGTTTCTTGACCAAGCTTTAATTAATTTCACTATTTTTTTTAATGTTAAAATGCATATTTCCATGTGTATCTACTATTGTATTTCTTGCATTTTCATTTATGTGGCCAATAAATGATTATATTTAATGATTTGTACATCTTTCGAGAGATGATTGTGCATTTTAGATCAAATAGTAGAAACCCTATGTTTAAGGGAGTGAGGCTAAAATTGAGATTTAATTGAAAAAAAAAAATTTGTTATGATGCAATTGTATTTGATATTTGGACTGGTTTGAATTACTTAGTATAAGTTTGAATGTGAAAACACTTATTAGTGAAGAATCATCACATGACTAGATATTGAAATTTTCGATTAAGCCCAACTGAACAAAAGTGGGATAAGAAATGGGTAAATTGAGAGCAACATTTAAATATACACCAAATGAAAGAAAGTAAATATCTATTTGAGCAGTATGAATCTTACGAGTGGGAAATTAAATATTTGATCACTAAGGGTCGAGTTTGAACTAATTAAGTGATTTTGCACGCACATACAACACCTATCGAACATTGGATAAGTTTAAATTATTTTTGCTAGAATTATTTGGAACGTATTTGTGAATTGATTATACAATTTTACATGCATGAATATTTTGCAAGCTATTTAATGTGTTGATCATTATTACGTGTTGCTTAATTGTGTTGTAGATAATCTTACTAGGTTAGAGCAAGAACTTAAGTTTGAGAATGCGATAAGTGTGTTTTTGTATATTTATTTAATAGCTAAATATGCTTAAATATTGATTAAATGAGCGAATTTTTATTCATAATTTATGTAATTATTGATCCTGTAGGTAAAAACACACCCAATGAAATAGAACAATGCAAAAGGAACTGAAAAGGGACAAAAAAAAGTACAAAATTTATGAGATTGGGGGGACCAAAGTGCATAAGTCAAAAAGTTGAAGGACCTTGGGTTGCAATTTTTGGAGGCATGATTGATATGAAATTCAAATTTTGATGATTGAATTGTAGTAAACTAAAGTTTAGGGAATAGACATGCAAATTTCTGGAGAACTTGCGTGAAAAAAATTAAAAGAAATCAAATGTGAAAGCAAACTTTTTGGCGGAGAGTTGGTGCGGCGCCTAGGTGCATATTTAATTGAAAAAAAAAAGATATAAGGATCGTGTTGCTTTTCTTCTAGAATACTAGGTATTTGAGCTGCAAATTTTGGATAGTTTTCTAGGTTTTTAATTGAAAAAGCCGGGCAGCCACAGCCCACAGGCTGCTGCTTCTTCCATTTTGGGGCTTTTTCCTTTTTTTCTTTTTCTTTCTTATTCATTTCTTCATTTTCTTTTCACTTTTTTGGGTATTTTGGAGGTAAATCTAGAGCGATAGGAGAATACATAAAGGAGGGTGGAGAATATTTTTGGAAAAGTTAAGACCAAGCTCAAACAAGAGTTTTATTTATAACTTTGTATTTTCTCAATTGTTTTGCCACATTTGTAATGTATTTTTATAAATATTTTCATTTTTAATTATTGTTTAACATGAGCTAAATATTTATATTAAGATTTATGGTAGTTTATTGACTTAGCTTTAATTAATTTCAATATTTGCTTTTAATGTTAAAATACTTATTTCAACATGTATCTACTATTGTATTTCTTACATTTTCATTTATGTGGTCAACGAATAATTATGTTTAGTGATTTGTATATTGTTCGAAAGAAGATTGTGCATTTCAGACCAAAATAGTAGAAACCTTATATTTGTGTAAGGGATAAAAATATACCTCTAACCCTAAGGTGACCCATTGAGCTATGTTCATAAAGATTTAATGCAATAGTTTGGCTTTAATCGATATAGAGATATACGTTAAACCAAACAATTACGGTTAATTTCGCTCTAGAGAGTTAATTAACTAAACTTGTAAAATCGAATCTAACGTTGTCAATGAGTAATTTGTTAATTGATTTGTGGAGAAATTAATTAGGAAACGGTTAAACGAAACCTTGAATCCCAATCATGTCGTCCTCCGAAATTTTCGAGTATTTATGTTTTCTTATTTTGTAGATTCTTGTTTTAAAATCAAAATTTTTATTGTATGTTTGTTTTTATTGTTAGAATTATATTGACTAAAGTTATGTAATTTGAAGTAAACATTTTTGAGAGACCGACAACTCGAATTCAAAAAGTCTATTTATTACTTGAATATGACTCGTGCACCTGCGATTTGCACTTTCATAACGAACAATAACATTTACATTTTAAGATAGAATTCAAGATCTAATAATGAATTACATATGACATACATTGATCAAGGACATGACCTGCTTAATATATTCAACCACGCCAACTACATTTCCCTTTCGATCATGAAAGGAAAACCTGAAGTCTAAATTTTTTTGAAATATATTTATTTATAAAATCAATTAGTTTGCATTCAATTTCAATTTTTTTGTTATTTTTTTTTTTTTTTTGAAACTTAATGTAAATAATTTAAACTGCATATTGTAATATTAGTGAAATTAATATAGCTAAAAAATAGTAAACCTAAAATAAAAATCAGTATTCTAAAAAATCTAAGACGTGGCAAGGCAACAAGATCGAGCCTTTTTTTTTTAAAGCCTTACTAGCATAGGCATAAAAAAAATGTTATCTTATTTAAAATTATTTTAATAATTTCAAGATTATTAAATATATAAACTAATACCTACATAACAACTAAAATCATTAATATAATTACTTAGCTCCCGTTTGGCTCCTATTAAATTATAATTTATTTTTTTCAATTTTCTTATGAACTACATATTTTTCAATAAAATAATATTACATACAAATCCAAAAATATTTCCTCCTTTTTTAACCACATATTATCCAAAAAATTATTATTTCCCTCTTTATAATATGGAATAATGGAGGCCAAACGGGCGCTTAATAATTTTTACAACTAAACAATTTTCAAATTTTCAAAAGTCAGACATTTGAAAATTGAACGAATAAAATCCATTTTCGAAGTAAACAGTCCTTTTGACACCTTAGCCTGCATTCTTTTAGGACAACAACAAAATAAATAAATTTTATCAAATTATTTAGATTCACTTTACAAAAATGTCGAGAACGCAAACTAGAAGCGAGATCAAAATTTGATCGTGTAAAAATGGCTTTATGAAATGAATCAACGATGCATAACTTTTAAAAGAGAAGGATATTATTGTGTGAAAATATAAAAGGATACTAGTCTTTACATTAAACAGTCATATGCTGATATTCATTTATTCAAATTAAAGGACACAACCATAATTTTAAATTTAAAGACACAACTAGACAATTTCTTTATTCAAACTTATTATTTTCCAACAAGAACAAACGGATTATAGGTTCAATTGGACCGCGCACTCCTCGTAATTTCTGCAGCATTGTATTCTTCCGGAAAGATAAATGCCCAAGTTCCTGCAACCACAATACTGGGAATCAAAAGTCACATGTAAACCACTATAGCAGAAAACTAGAAAAGCATTTGATCATCTGATTCAACAATAACTTACAGTAGTTTTTCTGTATATATGAGTTTTAGCAGTCAAATAGTGAAAGATAAGTTCAATATGTTTATTTTAAACAATCTTCAGATTTTATTTTCCAGAATGAGAGTGGAGACAGATAAAGGGAGATCAGACAAAGCAATAAATACGATATGAAAAATTATAGATTGAGAGAAAATGATGGTTAAGAAACTACCTGGTCCTGATTTTTTCAACTTCAATCCATCTATGGATATAGCTAATTGTCATTTTCAACTGATTTTGATGGAAATCGATTCCTCAATTCATGCTGCGGTGGAATTTTCAAATTCCCGCAGTTTTTAACTGCTAAAACGGAAAGCATAGGCATGGATTCTTCCTCCACCTCCCACGTCTCCAAGAAATGCAAATTCAAGAGTTCTAAACGTTTGAGTTTCTTGAAACCAGATTTAACGCATATCATTTTCTTTCCTGCAAATGCGTCGTCTTGCAATTCTAGTACCTGCAATTCCGGGAGCTTGTCCAAAGTTGCCATAGGGTCTTCCTTAAGTTCAGAGCCTATCAAGACCATCTCAGTCAGGCTTGAAGTGATTTTATTGTGTAGAGGTATCTGTCCAAGATGCCCATCCATATGCAGGCTATGAAGAATCTGCCAACTGAGTAGTTTTCTAAAAACTGAATGCCTTTTTTCTGTATAACAGTCAAAGTTTTTGATCTTAATGGAAAGACATAAGGTACTTGCATGTACTGAAGTCACGTCCCAGCCGACAATCTGCTCAAGATCCTCCAAAATCCCTTTTAACAGTCATAGACAAGTGTCGAAGATTTGTCATTTCGAAAAGATCAACAACATTACACACCTCAGTGTCAAAGTTTTCAAGTATCTAAAGTTCTTTCAAACTGCCCAAATACAGTTTATCGTTATTAGGCGTCTGATACTCGAGCGGAAGATAGAGATAGACAAGTTTTACCATTTTCCTCAAGACATTTGGAATGATTACGTGACTTGAAACTCGTAGATCAAGAATTTCCAAGAATGACAATTTACCTATTGATGATGGCAACACCCTCAGAATACATCCTTTGAAACTCAGATACCTAAGGTAGGTTGGCCATGTCATTTTGCTAGGTAGACCTCTCTCTTGGAAGTCAACCCGTTCAAAAGTTAGAACCCTCAGCATTCTGCACCTCTTCAGATTAAACATTTTTCGACGCCATTCAAACTTCACCTGACGATCCTTCGGATTCAAGAGTAAGAGAGACCTCAGATGGTTAACCTCTTCATTTCTGTTTTGATCAACAGAATTACTAGTCGACGAGAAGGAATCGGAATCTAAATGTAAAGCCATTCCACGTGCAGGATTACTAGTCGACGAGAAGGAATTGGAATCTGCTCTTCTCTGAGTTCTGTGCCCAAAATCTAGAACCTTAAAGTAATATTCTTTTCCCAGCTCTAAGCACTGATTTTGAATGTGCTCATGAACACAACAAGACTTGTATTTTCTCAAAGATGGAGTTTCTTCTTCTTCGACCTCAACCATTTTTCTCCGTACCGTATCGCTCAAATATCTTTCTGCTAAATCCATTATAGTTTCATTATTTTGACAATCATCTTGTGATATCATGCCTTCAGCCATCCATTGAAGATACAAATGCTCCACTTCTATCTTCGAACCCTTTGGAAACAAGCCCAAATAAAGAAAACATGGTTTCAAGTGATATGGGAAATCATCAAAAATTAAAGCTGAAATCGATTTTTTCAATACGATTTGTTCAACTGGTAGGTCTCTTTCGATTAATAACTCGATATCGTGAAGAACCATCTTCCATTCATCTGATGTACGCTTTTCAGCTAAAACTTCTCTGACTGCAACTATAGCTGATGGCAAGCCCGAGCACAAATTCAATACTTCGTCCATTATATCATTCTTCGACGAATCATCTTCTACATATGTTATAAATAAATTGTTAAGAAAATCCTAAATATAATTCGGTAATTATGAAATAATCATTTCCATCATATTGCCTGCAGCAGCTCTTAATATACGATAATTTATCTTCAAGAGAAGCAATTGACTCTACGAAGAGGATAAAAATGATAAAGTAGAGCTGGGCAAAATGTCCGAACCGAAATGAACCGAACCGAACCGAATCGAGCGGGTTTTCTTAACTTAAAAACTCGAAGAACCGAGAACCGAAGAACCGAAAAATTTTTGGTTCGGTTCTCGGTTCTAGACCTAGAACCGAAGAACCGAATTTTTTTTAATAAATCAATTTATTTTATTTTTTCTAAACAAATTAACAATTTTTTGTTTTAACTATTATATATATATATTCCTTAACCTAACACGGGTTTAATTTTGGACTAGTTTGTAGTTTTGTTTTTATTTCCTATTGGACTTAGTTTAGATTGTGTTTGATTTCAGTCTTGGGCTAGGCTTTAGTTGATATTTTAGCCATTCATGGTTGGATTTAGGGTTTAGTTGTTAAAATCGAACTTCATATTTGTATCTACTTCTTGCTATTAAGCCCCTGTTTGNATCTTTGGTATTTGTATCTACTTTTTGTTATTAATATTAGTATCCACTTTCAGGTGTATTTATGTAGTATTATTTTAAATATTAAAAAATTTAATTATAGTACGGAACCGAATGGAACCGAACAGAACCGAACCAAACAGAACCCGAACGGTTCCAAAATTATATTTGGAACCGACGGTTCCATTTACTAAAGAACTGAAAATTTTTGGAACCGAAAAAAATCGAACCGAACCGAACCGACCCGCGCCCACCCCTATGATAAAGTGGATACATCTTAATATCAACATTAAATATATTGACTCCAGCCACGATTGAGCATTCATGTTGCTTATTTGCTGTCATATAGACAGTTTTGTTGTATCTTTATTTGATTTAATTCTTTTTCCACTTTACCTCAAAAAATTCTCTAAATGGTAGTAATAGACAAAATTGTCAATATATATTTTACTTCTCACAAAAATAAAGATAAGAAATCAGACTAATTCTTAAATGGTTAGCTTATTGTGTGCTCGCCAAAAACTGTTCTGTAGGCCGCAAAAGGTGAAGGAAAATTATTAAATTATATTATCAGACATACAAAACACCAAAAGAAGGGTTCTGAACTGTTACGAAGGTTTTGGGAAATTGAGTTTTTTGTAAACACTGTTTGGTATGCACAGGAGAGTGAAATTTTATGTTGTTCATTCTGCAAGACAGACACTATGCACTGAGGGCCAGCAAAATTTTCTGGGAAAGTACGGATTTATTTGTTCAAACGCAAGAATTTGGCTTTCAAGACTTCTAAGACTGGAAAACTTTGATTAATTATCAAACTGGCAAGAAATTCAGAGTATAAAAACTGACAATGGGCTGGCATATTTGATAAGGTATTTTATACACTTGTTCGAATTTAAAAATATAGACATTTAATAGTTTTTATGATTAATTATATCTTAATTTATTGTGTATTTCATTTATTAGGCGAAATTCAATGATTGGAAGCAAAATTGAAAGAAAGAATCGAAAAATGATGAAATCAAAACTATAGGGACTAAGTTGAAAACTTTCAATAGTTGATTCGGATTTAAGATCGACAATTTTAGAATGCTTGGGGTACATTTGAATGCAATTAGAAGTTAAAGGATCCAAATGCAAGAAGAATGGACTCAATCAGAACAGAGGATAAAAATCAAGGACTGAATTGCACATTGGTGAAAAAAAATCACTCGCGCATGCGGGAACTTGGCTGGCGTTCCCGCACTAGCCGATTGAAAAACTCCCGAGAGCAAGCCATGCCTATGCACGGGCATGCCGTGTAAAAAATGAGCGACGGAGGACCCAACGTGCAAATTACCTATTTGTGTTAGAATTCTTATTCAATTCAACTTTGGTCACGATTTCAACCCTATTTTAGACTTCTATAAATATGGAACAGCAAATACATGAAAAGGAACCTCTTCTACACCATTAATCATCTATTATCATCATCAAATAAAGGCCAATTCCATTGTTCTTTTGAGAATTAAAGGGCAATTGCAAATTTTCAAGAAATTAGAGATCAAACCTTGAATTTTTGATGAAACAACAAGAGGAATAATTGAAGATTCATCAAGATACAATTGGAGAAATTCAAGAACATCAAGATTATTTTCATCTTCTCCTTTATCAATTCAAAATTCAGGTTTTTAAACATGATTTCTTGTAAATTTGTCATGATATGCTAGGGTTTCAATTACTAAAACTTGGACGAACCCTTATTATGATGTTTTAATATAAATTCGATAATTTGACGTTCAATATGGGTTAATTATTGAATGATTGTTGTAGGATTTAATGAATTTTCAATTACTTGATCACAATTGATTGTGAATTTTATTGATTTCGAGAGAAACAATATGATACATAGCACGTTAGCAACGACTGTAAAGTCCGATAGATGATATAGATATACATTTATGCTTTTCATGATTTCTATAGAGGTTCTAGTATTTTTAATACATACTTTAATGCTCGCATCTTTCACAGAGATATAAGAAGGTCACATAAGATGATAAATTTAATTGACATCAAGATATATTTTTAACTAACTTAGAAATATTGATCAACAAGAATGAACACATATTGTCATGTTATTAAGTTGATTTGAAACGAATTACTAAGGGGATTCAAGGTCTTAGTAACAATCCAATCTAAATTTACAAAACCTTCATAATTTGATCACTAGAATTTGTTAGTTTAACTAGATTACTTAATATAAGGCATTTAAACAAATAAGGCTATTCGATTAGAGTTAAAATTGATTGATGTTAGGTTAAGTTTATAGTCATTGTGGGATGACACTTTAATATTCACTTTATTACTTGTTCGCGATAGAGTACATTTGTAGAAAATTAAACCATCAATATCCAGTTCGAACAATTTTGCAAGGAAAAGGGTTAGCAAGGGAAAAGACGATTAGAAAAGCTCATCAATAAAATCATATGACTTGGAGAATGAATAGAACTATTTTGAGGAGTTACATACATGTTACCTAATGTAAAATTACCTATGACGGCACGTGTTAAATTCTCATCAACTGTCTCGTGTACTTAAGAGGTAGATTATTATATAAGTTGTTAGAATTTTGGTGAGACCCCACTTCCTTGTTGAAGTAATTGAAGTGCACGTCAAGAAAAATTCAGTTTGGAATGCTATTGGAGTCCTATGTTAAGTTAACATTCTATTTTGGAAACCCATTGAGAGTTATAGTTTGTTTTGGACTCTATTTTTTGGTATCCTACTTCATCAACAACTCTACTAGGAAAGTTTGGACATCCCCTACATGTTTCCTATAAATATTAGACTCTTCTATACAATTTCAAAAGTGTGAGAAAAGTGATTACTAGCTTTTAGAATCAATTGTATATTTCTTCATTATTGGTCAAGAGTTAATAAAATCTCATAATTCATCTACCATAATTTCTTGTCTTCTTTTATTCTTTTGCTTGTGATCAAATACTTCATTATTGTGCCATATAACTTCAACATCTCAATCTGGTGGTTGGTTTCATAACAAATGGTATCAGAGTGATTCTGGCAACTTGTTTGTTTTATAATAAGTGGTATCAGAACCTAGGTTCAGTAGTTCCGCAAGAACGCAGGGTTTGATTTGTTCGAGATTTTTGTTCGTGATGGCTTCTATGAAGTATGATATTTAGCTTTTGGATTAGAGCATTAGATTTTTGTTATGGCAGGTTATGATGCGTGCAGTACTCGCACAGTTGGATTTGAATGATTCGTTGCTGAAAATTGATAAGATGCCCGCAACTTTGACCACGGAGGAGAAATTATGGAAGGATAGGAAGGTAGTTTCTCACATTCATCTCCATTTATCAATACCATTCTTCGGAACGTTTTGAAGGAGGTTTCAACAGATGCTTTATGGTTGAAGTTGGAGCAATTGTGCATGACTAAAAGTATGACAAGCAAGTTGCATTTCAAGAAGAGTTTATATTCTCATCGAATGGCAGAATGATGATCATTGAAATATCACCTAACTGTATTTAAAGAGATCGTCGCTGATTTGGAAACTTTTAAAGTAAAGTATGATGAAGAAGATTTAGCCTTGATCCTATTGTGTTCCATGCCCGTTTCGTTTTCTTCATTTAGATACATGATCTTGTATTATCGTGATACTCTCACCATAGAGGAGGTGTATGATGCTTTTGTATTCCAAAGAGAAGATGAAGCATCTGGTTTCTGAGGCCGAGATGGAGAAGGCTGGTTGCTCATGGTGGTTCTGGAAAGGGCATATTGAAGTCCAAGTTCAGTAATCAGATTTGTAACTATTACAAGAAGAAGGGGCACATGAAGAATGATTGCTACAAATTGCACAATAAAGAAAGGTTGGCTGCAAGTCAATATGGGAAACAATCAGAGACTTCATGTGAACAAACCTCGCAGAGAACATTGTAAGTGAGGGATATCTTTTGGCTATTTCTAACATCGAGTCTAAAACAGAGGAGGATTGGATTTTGGATTCAACGTGTGTGTTTCATATGTGTCCTAATAAAGACTTGTTTACTACATTTGAAATCGTTTCCAAATGTGCCATGGTTATGGGAGACAACACACCTTGTCGGGTTGCTGGAATTGGTACGGTCAGATTGAAGCTATTGGATGGGACAATTAGAACACTTGCCAGGTTTGGCATGTTCTGAATTTGAAGAAGAATCTCATCTCGTTGTCTACCATTGATTCAAAGGGTTATGAGTTCTTTGGTGGAGGTGGAGATGGAGCTTTGAAGGTTTGTAAGGGTACCTTGGTTGTATTGGATGGATAGAAAATGTCTCAATTATACATCTTGTAGGGTCATGCAGAATCTAGAAAAGTCAATCAGAACAGGTTTAATACCGTGGTGGACATTCAGTTTGATACAATACCTTTAGGAGCTCGTAAAGAGTCGGATTTAAAGAATACAGCTCAGTGGAGTTCAAAAAATATGGATAATGTTGCTTTGCCACCATCACCTACGGTGTCATTGTATTCAATTGTTAGGGATGGACCCAGTGGTAAAATGTATGTGGATGCTAATTTTGTTGAACATGCTTTCAGCATAGTAGAAGGTGTACAATTAGCAATGGGCCTTCTTTAAGAGCATTTGTGTTTGATTCTACTTTAGGGTGTGTTACAGTCCAATTTGGTGAATTTTAAAATCATTATGATTTTTTGAGAATTTGAAGTAATTCTGTAGAGTAGTACTTGGATTCATTGGAAGAGATGAAGTATTTTGTGTTGGTTAGATAAATCAATTTTTGTGGTAGTCAATCGTTTCTCGAAAATGGCCCATTTTACCCTTGTAGCAAAACCTCAGATGCATCCAGGTTTCCACGTCGTACTTTAATGAAATTGTCAAATGACATGGTCTTCCTAAAACCATTGTATCCGATAGGGATGTTCGTTTCACTAGTCAGTTTTGGAGAACATTGTGGCATAATGTTGGTACTAAATTGAAATTTTCTACTGCCTATCACCCGTAGACTGACGGTCAAACGGAAGTAGTTAACCATAGTCTTGGTAATTTATTAAGATGTTTGGTCCAAAAAAATCTTAGAAGTTGGAATTTAATTCTTCCTACAGCTCAATTGCATATAATAGTTCCATGAATCGATCATTAGATATGAGTCAATTTGAAGTTGTTCATGGTTTTAAGCCTAAGAAGCCTTTAGATCCCATTCCAATGTCCCTACATGCTAGAGTGTCTATACCAGTTGAAGCATTTGCAAAACATCTTTGTGACTTGCATATTGAGATCAATAAACAATTTGAAGCTAGCAATGCATCATATAAACTTCAAGCTAATTTGTATAAAAGACATTTTGAGGGTGTATTTGATGGATATTATTGAGGAAGAATATATTTTAAATAGTGATATAATAGAAAATATATGGTTAAAAAATAAGAAAAAGTTATTGATGTGATGTGATGAAAAATATTATTTTATTGAAAAATGTGTGGTTAAAAATGAGTTTTGAAAGAATATGTGTCAAATAGTGGCTGAGTTTAATATTGGGGATAATGTTATGATCCAAATTAGACCGGAGTGGCGTCTACCTGGATTCGCCTCCAAATCGGAAGCTCGTAGTGCTGGTTCTTTTAAAATTTTAAAGCAAGTTGGCTCAAACGCATATGTTTTTTATCTTCCATCATATCTTGGTTACTACTCTACTTTCAATGTTGAGAATTTAATTGCTTATAAAGACCATATCAATCAATCTGATGATCCTCTTCTACCTCCATCTGTGGACCTTGATCCTGAGTCTCATCCCATTTCTAACATAATACCACATTTCCCAGCACACAAAGTTAAAATTGATGCTGTTTTAGATTAACAATCATTGTGTTGACTAATGATGGGGATGTTCAATGCTTCCTTGTTTGTTGGGTTGATCGACCTGAGTCTGACTGTACCTGGATTACTAGAGAGACACTCCAGCAGATTGATCCAAATTTATTGGAGCTCTATCGAAGTGAGTAAGATCTTACTTTGCCCAGATCTCCTCCACCCATTCGGGGGAAATTGGTGGGGACACCAGATTCAGACCTCCACTAACACGCTTTTATCCTTTTATGGATGTCAGAAAAAGCTTGTTCAACCTTTTAGTTTATGGTTGAATGATTGATTGCAACTTCTTGTGATTTATCCACTTGACAGGGTCGAGTTTTTCTCCCACCCCGGGAGAGTTGATGCGCACATCATCGAGATTTAATTTTATTGTTATTAGGCTTTATAATTTATATTTTCTATTTTATTGTTATTGGGCTTGTATTCTAACCCCTGAGCTTATGGTTGGGCGATTGATTGCAGCCTTTTTCTACCTATCCACTCGACGGGGGCGAGTTTGCTTCTACCCCGGGAGAGTTGATGCGGACATCCATCGAGCATTATTTTTTTTATTGTGCATTTTTTTATTTATTTTTCTATGATTGAGCTTGTATTATTGGGTTGGCCCAAACCCTTCAGTACTAGGGTTAAGTTTTACTATTTATATGATTTTTGCATTGTAATTCAGACAGTTAATGATTGAATAAAATAATTTGTGGTTATTGCCAAAATTTCCTCATTTCCCCTATTCTTTTTCTTTTTCTTGTGTTATTTTCTTCTTCTGCCATTCCTACCCCTAATTCCATTTTCTCTATTGATTTGTTTCCCATCCTCCATTAATTGTCTTAGTTGGCCGTGCATCACTTACTCCTTCATAAACCTCCGTTTGACTAAATAAAGAAGGACAAAATCTGAGACGTGCATCCAAATGTGTAGTTTTTTTTTTTTATGTACCGGATAAAAATCAACAAACAACTAGATCAAGAAAACTGAAGGGTTGTTATTTCTTTGCATTTCACTACTATAACGAGGCTTCGTCGAGTTTAA